AGTACTTATAAAAAAATCTTTATAAAAAACAATCTATGTAAAAAAGTCTAAAATCTAAAAAAGTGTATATAAAAAAGTCTATATAACAAAAACAGTTTACATAAAAAACAGTTAACGCAGTTAAAGCATTTGCAACTAATATTCTCTCTTACCTTATTAATAACAATTATATATTAAGTGTTATTTCATATATATATATAATAGAAAAGTATATATAAGCACAAATTGATCAGTTCAATTAAATATAAAGTATAAATGCTGGAATTTTAATGGAATATAAAAATTAGTGTATGCATAAAATAACAATAATCATTAATTACATTAAACTTACTAATTATCGCCTACCTACGTTAATTTTAATATTTCTTTAGAATACTAACATAGTTTATTTTTAATTGAATTGATCAATTAGTATTTATATCTTGAATTAAACAAAAAAAATTGTACCTATTTTTAAACTAAAAAATATATAACAACTATTAAAATTTGAGTCATAAAATTTTCCATACGACCCTCGTATTTTTCCATATATTTTCTGTGCTGAATGTAGTTTAACAAATTTTCAGTGCGCTTACTGTGTGCGGATGTGTATGTGTGTGTGTGTTTGTGCTGCAAATACGCTGACCTCATTATTTTCTGCAGTTTGTTGCTCTAATATCGAAATACACAAAAACAAAAATGCAAAACAAGAAAACACCACCAACAACAACAACATCAGCAGCAGCAGCAACAATGATGACAGCAACAACAAAAACAATAACAACAATCAAAAGCAAAATAAAGAAACTAACATTAAGTGAGCTTCACAATAAGCGAGTGAGTACTTTTGTTTGTTGTTGGCGAAATAGGTTCATTCGTTCATTCGTTCGCTCGGTCGTTCAAATAATCGTAAGAAATAGATTTTGCTTGAAGGCTTCAAGCTTCGAAGGCGAAGTCAAAGTCGAAGCAAGCGAGCGAGCAGCATGAATGTTTTTTAATAATCATTTTTACTTTGCTCAAAATAAGTTATCTGAAAATAAATGAATTTATGTACTCCTATATAGGTTCCTATGTATGAAAATTACAAAAAAAAAAAAAATAAATATCTTTTTTACTTACTGCCTCATATTGGATTTGTGATTCAGGCTCTATTATTGTCGTCATCATCAAACGCAAAACTTAAAGCCAGCAAAGATGCTGACGAAACAATATTTTCATGTAATTTCAATGTACATATATGTATGTATATAAGTTATACACACATACAAACGAAATATTTATAAATTAACATACTCACATATATGTACATATAATTATAATTAGTACTCTATACAACAGGTACGAAATTACTGCAGTTTTTTTTTACCGACGAGCTTTATGGAGTTTACTAGCAACTTCCATAGTGGCAACTCTTCGTTTGCCACTTCCACAAACTGGCAACGTAGCGTACATCAAGGTTCTTTGGACGTTGTTGAAATCGAAAAACAAATGAATATTTGCATTATTTTAAATAGAAGTTAAGTCATTAGCGTAGCTTGTATATAAACACTACAAAAAGCTCTATATAATTTCAACACTAATTATCTAGATATAATATACATCATTCGGAAATCAAATATTTTATCACAATCTATTTATATTAAATGAATTGATTTATAGACTACTTTACATACAAGAAGATAAGGATTTTATTTAAGATTTCTTAAAAAAACTAAAACTCCCATACACCCCGTTTTATTTATAGCGCATATGAGTTTGAGCTTAAAACGAGGTTGATGATCCTTGCAACATACATATATCCATACAAACAATAGGAATGGAACAGCGAAACTTGTTGAAAATTGAAAAGGTAATTTTATAATACTAATTATACGATATATCCTCACAAAAACTTATGTATAATTTTAAAAAATAAGCCCATCAAACAAAAGAAGATTATTATAAGAATATAGCTAGACAGTAGCTTTGGATATGTCATACCAATTAATGAAAATGCTTTATTAAGAAAGTTGTTTATTCCGGTATCCGATGGTGGGAAATAAGTTGGTAGATCTCAACATTTTCGGTAAAAGTATCAAGGTACAAATGACTCGGTACTACCAACTTGCGACAGCAAAGTTAAAGATAAATGATTACAAGACCTTCAGGTACTATCAGTACTAGTGACGGCAAATCGTTGATAATGTTATCTGGCGAAGACTACCGGTCACTGGCATGGATGACACACAATTGTAAAAACCAACTAAATAAGTAAAAAAAATATTCTTAGTGAACTACAGAGATACTTGCTGGAAAATTTTGAGTTTATTTGTGGAGCTTTCATGTGTTTCCGAATATGACTACCAAAAACAGTCGATATATTGAGACTGAACAAGAAAATTTTATATAAATCAAGATTAAAACAAGATATATGTACTTTATAACAAAGTCTGCACAATTATTTTTTTTAAATTTTAATAAGCTTAATCTGGGAAGGCTAGATTAGGACTAAATAAAATATTGCAGATGTCGGGGAAAGAATGTTCTTTATGAGATTTAAACATTAAATATCTGCGCAGAATTTATAAATAGATTTCATCTTTGCTAATGTAAATCGATCTAAATCGAAAAAAGTACGATAGGAATCACGTATGTTATATTGTATATATGGTATTTATATATATTTCTAGTACTAATAGACTTTACTAGTTCACATGAACTATATATATGAGTAAGTTACATTAAAATGTTACTATAAATATGTCTCTCACCAGCAATAGTCGTACTCATATACAAAAAAATGACTAACACATCTCCATGAAAAGTCTTTGGCGAAAAATCATTTGCTTGAATCTTTTTATTCGATTGAAAATATTTACGAAAAGGCAATCAAAAATTGAGTCTTTGTTTATAGATGCAATTGAATCTTAAATCTTGAAATGGTGCGGTCTGTTCCGTGAATTTAAGAGCACGTAACGAGACACATACATTATTATAATAGAAACAGAGTGAAGCTATTGGTTTCTTATTTCGTCATTACTCTGTCCCATTTTTAATTTGTTTACTTGAAGCGACACGAAAGGCGAGTGTTGTCTGTCATTTAATGTTTTGTTTAGATTGCGATCGATGTCGAAACTTCGCGCAGTTTTATTATCGTTCAAGATATTTTATCACCCATTTTATGCTGATCTTGCACTTTTAAATTAAAGACGTAGAACTTTTAAGTCAACGTTTTTATTCAACTCATAAATAAATTACTTTTGAGTAGATTTAGTGACAGACAACTTCCTCATAAGAATAGACAATTCTTATGAAATATTCTCGTACGACTTATGATCTATACAGAGTAATAATTATGATTTAATAAAGGCAAATTTTATGCAATATATGTTCAATAAAATTTAATTATTCATGCTCATATAATCACCATTTTAAGAATAAAATCATATACGGATTTTGTGCACCGTTTCTTTCCAATACGATTATATACGATATTTTGTGACCTGCAGTTTCAAGCAGTTCAAATGCAGTTAATGGACATTCAACACTCTTTAAAGAGCACTTAATTCCTCAAATATTTCAACAATATTTATATTAATGAATATACCGTATTGTTAACAGTGGCGGCAATAGTTGTACCAAGGTGTCTAGTAGATACATTATTTGAATCTAACTCTTCAGCTTATACTTTGATTGGATATAAAGATATTTGAATTTAACTCTCATGCAGTAATCATTATCATAATGAGCTCCTAGATTTTTCAACATAAAATAACTTAAAATCTGCAGAGAAGTATTTCTTTCCTTAAAGTAACAGACTTTGATTTGAATTGTATTACAAAATCAATTTTCGTCCTAGTTCTTGTTCTAGTTCTAGTTCTATTTTTTCAAATTGTTTTATTCCTCTTTCGTTTTTATTAGATTTCTTTTTATCTGTTATGACAAACATTGTCACATTCTTTTAAATTACAATGCTCTTTTGCAAATTCATTTACGGATTTGCTAGTTAGCAGTGGATTAGGAGATTAATCCCTCTTGACAATTTAATCCGCAGCAAAAAAACTTCAAAAACATTGCCCAAAATATATTGTCTAGTACATGTCCCCGTTTGACATAACCCTGCAGACCACATTACTACTAGTAACGCAAAAGACTACTTCTCAAACTACCGTTTTAATAATAAACTTCAAATCTTAAACTAAAAATTTTCTAATAGATAGTTTTTTTTCTGTCATTAATTTTTTTTATATCTTTTTAGCTGTTTGTCAAAACTTTTAGTGTTAATAAAACTCCATTAATTTCATGTACTAGTTCTTTCTATTTATATCTACGTTTAATCTCAGGTTTTCCTTTTTTCAATTTTTATATCCTTGTTTTTACCTTTCTTTTTATCTTAATTTTTCCTATAGATATCTTTCTTTACTTGTCATGCACTTCTAAATTTTTTTCGTTAGTACTTTCCTTTGCTTTTTCCTATCGATATCTTTTTTCACTTTATTACATCATACCTTTTCCTATCGATCTTCAATTTTTGCTATAACTATGTCTTGTTTTGCCTATGCTTTTACGGGAAGTATCCTTATATTCCTCTATTAATTTTACCGTTTCCGACTCTATTTTACCTGTTTTTTTATCGATCTCTCTTTTTTTCACTTTCCTTATAATTGTATATTTTTTAGATGAATACTATTGTTAACTTTTCTCTAACCCATTTGTATAAGTTTCTATCTTACTTTTTTATATCGATCTTTTTTCTATCGATCTTTTTTATTCACTTGGCTCATACTTTTATCTATTCTTAATACTATTATTTTTTTTGCCAATATTTTTCTGACAACTTTTCTCTCTTTTTTTACCGATTTTCAGTTTTTTATCTTACTTCTTGAAAATTTTTTTCAAATAGTTTCAAAAAGGGTTCTTGAAAATTATTCTATTGTTATTAGAGAGTGAACTGTTCCAGATATTATATACCATATATCATAAAATTAAAATATATTGTTTGTTATAAATTTATATGAAAATTTTAAAACTTTGGTACTCACCACATGTACACTGCTTTGCAGATTTCCCGCCAACATTGTGGCCTCCGTGGGTTTCTTCTCAGTTTTCTTGGCGGCACGTTTATTTTTGCTTTCAAGGAAACGCTTTTGTAAAGCGGTTGTCTCATGATTTTGCTGTTCGCATACCGTGTTGAATGTTTGTTCGTACCGTGGCACACAATCAGTTTGCCGACGTCTATAGCTTTCCATGCGTCGTCGCAAACGATCGAACATTTGTTGTCGTTTTGGTGGTAAAATATCGCTACCTTGTGGTGATGCCGTTGATGTTGTTCCTGCTGCAGAGCTGCCATTTCCGTTGCCGCCAGGGCCAAGACCGCCGCCAATTCCGCCTCCCGCTGTTGCAACATTTGGATTGTAGGGAGAATGTTGTGATTGTTGCTGCTGTTTCTGCTGCTGTTGTTGTTGTTGCTGCTGCTGTTGTTGTTGCGCTTGAGATTGCTGTTGTTGCGTGTGATGTTGCTGTTGTTGTACTTGTATCTGTTGTTGCTGTTGCACATTATGTAATTGCTGTTGTTGTGATGCTTGCAATTGTTGCTGATGCTGTTGTTGTTGTTGCAAATGTAAACTTAAACTTTGTTGCTGATGTAATTGCTGTTGATGTGTATGATGTTGCAAGTGTTGTTGTTGTTGCAATTGCAAGCTTAAATGTTGTTGTTGTTGTCGTTGCTGTTGCTGTTGGTGGGCAGCTGCCTGGCTGGCGCTCTGAAATACTGGAAGACCTCCTGCATCCATAAATACAATTTTATTTATATAGTTGCGCTGCTTTCTACTTGTCCTTGTCGTTTCGGTCGAACTTCGTTTATTTGTATTAAAACAAGTAACGAAGCGCCGAAGTGAACTAGGAACAAGTAAGCACACTCAACTTTTTTGTATTATATTTCAGAGTAAAATTCTGATATCCGGTATAAAAATTTAATTATTCTACTAGCGTTCTAGTATAAAGTTTTAAACACATTAACGATTTTATTTAATTATAGTTGAAGATTGTTTTTAACGACAATTTCGAAGATTTGATGATTGATTAAATGAGTATATAACTCCATGTCAAAGTAACTAAAATAAATAAAAATCAAAAATTATTATTTATCTAAATTATTTATATTATCAACAATTTTTGAAACATATTTAAATCGTTTCCTAAACTCAACTGATTATTTTTCTGATTAATTCTTAATATTTTATTTAATCTTAAAAATGTTTTTGTAGAGAAAGAAATATAATATTTTTAAATAACTTAAAATTTGCTTGTGCATGATTCAATTACTGTTTAACTTTTAATTAATCATTTCCTTAATATATCACGTACCTAACTTGTACACATTTCAGTCGAGCTCATATTCTTGGAAGAGATAAAATGATATTACCACACCTCCCCACAACCACACATGAGTTACAGATAAAATTAAGAAAATTTCATGAATTTTTTGTTCGCTTACGAATTCGTTATTGGTGAATGAATAAATTTCAAAAAATCAGTTAAAAATTTTAGCTCTACAAGATTACTTCAACAAATATAGTAATATCAAATGGATAAAGTGCATTAAACCCATTAAACATTTGAAAATTCAGAAGTGAAAAAATTGGTTCAAATAATTAATTATAAAATATAATACTTTCTTCTCTTAAACACATACAATATAGTGTGAAAAGTGTGTATTTAGTTCCCAAATTTAGATTGACCGCACAATTAGTGGCAATAAAATGGTAAAATAAGTCACGAAAATTGAAAACCCCATTTGACGTAAATAAGTCATTGATATAGTTTTTTTTAATGAAGACTTTTATCTAACCTTCAGTTGGTGCCACGGGTCTAAAATTATATATCCGAATCTGAATCTAACAGAATAAAATTCAACAAAAATTTTGCACATCAGGTTTGATTCACAACAGTTCATAAATAGTTGCGACAAAGTTGCACGAGAATTCTCTGAGAATGGAGCAAAGTTTAAATATATAAAATTAAATCATTTTTGGATTAAGCTTAATACTAACTGACATACATTTCACACGAGAAATTGGCATTACCAAATATGTTTTCTGCGATGTCCAAATTTTGTGGAACATTTTTTTTAAATACAAAATTTTTTCACACCGTGCAAATTTTGTGCAACAATTGATTTTCGTATTAATAAACATTTTCTACAATGTCCAAACTTTTTGGAACATTTTTCTTTTATAAAAAAAATATCTACACCGTCCATATTTTGTGCAACAATTGATTTTGGTATTAAAAAATATTTTCTATAATGTCCAAACTTTTTGGAACATTTTCTTTTATAAAAAAAAATGTCTACACCGTCCATATTTTGTGCAACAATTGATTGTGGTATTAAAAAATATTTTCTACAATGTCCAAACTTTTTGGAACATTTTTCTTTTATATAAAAAAGTTTTCTGTGATTTTCAAATTTTTGGAACTCTTTCTCTATATATAAAAACTTTTTTTTTATATAAAAAACTTTATAAAACTGTATATAAAAAACCATCTTCTACAATGTCCAAATTTTTTGGAACATTTTTTTATATAGAATTTTATGTTCAGTTGTCGTTCAAAGTTAGATGTTAATACTAAGCATCACCTAAAAATTCGAATTACATTTTTATAGCGCATTTCAGCGATGAAAATACACACAAAATATTTAGCAAAATCAATTAGTTATACCAATTTCAATTAAACGTCTTTATAAATAATATAAAAAATGCAGTTGTGAGCGTTTTATTTACTATTATGCGGTAATTAACGAACATATTGAACTGACTTTTATATTTCTAATAATTGCCTTAGGTACTAAAAACCGTTAATTTTTTTTTTTTTCAAAAGATATGAACTTTAATTGTAATTACTCGTTATTACCTCTAATTTTTTCGTAGTTGTTTTGCATTGCGAACTAGGGATTGATATGTACATCAAAAACCTAATTTTACACAAAGTGTCTTAATAAACAATAAAAAAAGAAGTTATTTCTAAATATTTATTTTACTCGTTTATGGTCATTATTGAACTAATTTTTATTCTTCTAAAAATGTTCAAAATTTATAAAAGTATTCATTACGATTTTTTTTAGTATGTGTAGAACTCTAAATATGAGAAAAAAATATGCAGATCATATTTACAAATGTAATCTACTATTGTAATTATGTAAAAGTACTGTGAAAAAGTGCTACATTATAGCACCTTTTATAAACATTTCTTTAAATTTCTATACAAAAGTTTTTCTTACTTTATCTCTGATGTGTTTTAAGTTTAATAGAGTTGAATGTTGGATTATATCTATATATGAAATATATATATATATATACGGACCTATTCTGTGCACTTTATAAACTTTTCAAACATTGACACTTGTCAAAATTGACTGCTGTAAAGGTTTTGGTATTCTGTGACATAAATAAAAAGCTCTTTTCCTTGTCAGTTGTCAATACCTCAATGCTGTTAACAACTATAAAAATATGCTCTTCTTAAGCATTTTTTTATTTGCATGCATGACAAATATTCTTAACTAAAATATACGCTCTTTACAAGCATATTTTTTATTGTGATTTGAATGCATGAAAAATGCTTTCGACAATTAAAAAAATGTGCGCTTTACAAGCATTTTTTACGAACAATTACGAACAGTTTTATATACAAAACACTTTACACCATAGTGTGGTGAGAAGCATTAGGTACTTGAGCTTTGAAATTTGTCAAGATGTGTCCAGAATACCAAAAAGCTTTCTGCTTTATAAAAATCAAAAATTTTATTAAAGAATTTGACAAATTTGTCAAGTGCACAGAATAGGTCCGGTAATATATCTTTGGTCGGTTTGTATGCGTATTTAAGTTAAAATTAATTAGACCAGTTATGGCTGACATGGATTATTAGCGAAAATAAAATAAGTGTTCAAATGAAATATAGAATGCCGTATCTGACCAGTTCATTGGTTTGACAAATTTCTTTGACAATGTTCTATAATTTTAAGTTTTTATAAGATGGCATGTTTTGTAATTGAAACTTTCATAAATATGAGGCAGCTATGTTACGACTACTAATTGATTTATCTTATTATAGTTTTTTTAATGAATCGATATCTGTTTTATTATTCCATCCTCTGAAGGAGAAATACCATATCTGATCAGCTCATTAGTTTTACAAATTTCTCGAATCTCCTTATCTGTTTCATTGTGATATCCTTCGAAAAAGTATTGCCATGACTTATTTCAAGCCTGTACAAAATAAACAATCACTTGTCTTATTTAGAGAACAGTCTACATATTTTATCTTTAGGATTAATATGAACAAAATATATTGAGATAAAATGGTTTTAGTTATCAATAGTTGTGACTTCTTGGACAAATTCTGTAGATACAACATATCAATGTAAAAAACAATAAGTAACTCTAATAAAACAAATCTAAAAGTATTTATTCTATAGAAAGAAAAAATATATTAAATTTTATTTTTTGTTTTGAATTTTTTTTCTTCTGCCTCGCACAGAGGCACAAGGCAAACATTTACCTTGAACCTAAATAAAATAAAATAACTAAATATACACCTTTGCTAAAATTGCTTACTTCTTGAAAAAGTATTTGAAAAACTTCACATAAAACTTCCGATAGCAGCTTAGGAATTTATACGAAACTCATAAATGTCAATGTCGGAATGTAAAGATACAGCGACTTCAGGTTATTAAAATCAATGGAGGGCACTCGACAGAGCGTACGAAACGCACGAGGAAATTGTTTGATTTCAAGACAAGCGTCACTCGAAATGAAGTACTTAAATTTCACAATAACTAATTAAAGCAAATTTGAATTTTTATATTATATTAATATTTGAAAAAATATATAAAGATATTTTAATACAAAATAATAGGAATAGAAAGGAAAGCAAATTAAATTTTTTTTATTCGAAAGTTTTTCTTAATTTCTTATTATACAATAAAGGAACTACATTTTTTTATATCCTTAAGTTTAACGTCGTATCATAATCACCTTATATAACGTAAATGAGTTATTTCACTATAAAAATACCAACTATTGAACGTGCCCCCAGTCCACCTACTAACCCTCCACACAAAGTAATAAGGAAAGTTTTGTTAAAATGATTATAATGCAGTAAAAAAGACATTGCAAACTTCACAATCAATTAGAATAAGAAAATCTGTTAGTCTAGAATTTATAGTGTATTCACACGGCATAAGTTAATGATGATTAACTACTGTTTTTGAACTATTTAGTTCAACGAGTTTCAGAAACATATGTATATCGGTTTTTTTAGGCTCCTTCAACATTTTTAAAATTTCTGATGCGCCTTGCCCTTCAACATCATTCCATTTTTATAGTAAATTTCAGTAAAGAAGGATAATGACAAAACAACGAAACACATTGTTAAACTGGTTTGAGCTATTTTTTTATTATATAATTTATTGGTGTTCAGTGACCTCTCTTAATGAAATAGACTGTATGAAACCATGGTTCCTTATTCGCGTATTTCTTTTAAACTATTGGTTGCCATTAAAAATCAACAAAAATGTTATGTGAATATCGATGTAATCTATATCCTGGAATTAAAATTAACTGTGACTGTAAGTATATTTATTTGCGAATAATAACAATTGCGAATAACAACTATAGCACTTATCTCCATACCTATCTAACTCCCTTTTATAGACAAAAAATACTTGTCAAAATGTTTCTAACACTGTGGAGGAGACATTGAGGATTCATAAAGTATGTACAGTATGATAAAAAGAATTCTTCAACGAAATTTATCGTGAAAATGACTTAATCTACCCATGCCTGACTGTAAGTCGTTAATTTACCTATTAGCTGACAGAAGTAATGGAACAATTATTAATAAAGAATATGTTAGATTGGTCGCCAGTTTTATAGGCGTTGAAGAATATATAAACCATCGGACATTTTATTGCTTACATTCTAATATAATGTTTCCAGTATTCTTAATAGATCAGCAATAAATTGTATATATGGGTATAACATAATCCTTCGACCTATTTTAACTTATTTGACTTTTAAGAAAGTATTAAAGGATAGTGAAAATAAGTATCTG